TATTTTTTAAGAATTCAATAAGAAATGAAGGTACTCCATTAAGAATTTTCATGTTTTTGAATGAATATGCGAATATTGATATGTTCTTTCCCTGCATGAAGTGCCATTCAGCATTTAATTTACATCACACAAAAGGATAAACATATAATTATCATGGAATAAGTATATCAACATACATGGACTACAATAAAGCATAAAATTAGTAACATACGATCTAAAAATAAAATGATAGACGACGTTATTGTTCTTCTTGGTCACACTGGTGCCATTGATTAAATTCGTTTAACAATTCATTGATTCGATCTAAAAACGAATCATCGATATTAGCAGGCGTCTGACTATTCCCAAATCCCTGAGTGTTAGTGTTTTGTTGTGTTCCCAATCTAAAATCCCCGAAGATTGTCAATCCTTTATGCTCACCTGCATTGTCGTGCTCATCCCTACACTGTTGCTGTTGGGACTCGATATGTGAATAATATGGCTGGGATAGGGTGGCCTCAGAATCATCATCTCTCTCATTTTCCCTTTGAATAATATGGATTAAAAAAAAAAAATAACAAATTTTCAAAAAAATCGATCATGGATTAAAAAAAAAAATCACAAATTTTCAAAAAATTCTATCATGGATTACAAAAACAAATTCGATCATGGATTAAAAAAAAAAAATACACAAATTTTCAAAAAATTCAATCATGGATTACAAAAAATTCGATCATGGATTACATAAAATTCGATCATGGATTACATAAAATTCGATCATGGATTACAAAAAAAAACAAACATAAAAAAACAAAAAATTTAATTGTGAATTAAAAAAAAAGAAAAAAACAATTCGATCATGGATTACAAAAAATTCAAACATGGATTACAAAAAACTCTATCATGGGTTACAAAAAAATCAAAAAACAAAAAATTCAATCATGGATTACAAAAAAAAAACAAACATTTCGATCATGGATTACAAAAAAAAATCAAACATTTCGATCATGTATTACAAAACATTCGATCATGATTACAAAAAATTCTATCATGGGTTACAAAAAAAAAACAAAAAACAAAAAATTCTATCATGGATTACAAGGAAAAAAAACAAACATTTCGATCATGGATTACAAAAAATTCGATCATGGATTACAAAAAATTCTATCATGGGTTACAAAAAAACAAAAAATTCGATCATGGATTACAAAAAAACAAAAACAATTTGATCATGGATTACAAAAAAATCGATCAAGTATTACAAAAAAATCTATCATGGATTACAAAAAAAAAAAAAACCGTACGGACTCGCCGATTCACTGTTCCGACTCGCCGATTCCGTACAGTGAATCGGCGAGTCACTGTACAGAATCGTTCGGTTCTCTAGAACCGGACGATTTCTGATTTTTCAGCCGATTCGATCCACTTTTGCGATTTCCGAGTCGAACCGGGCGAGTCCGGTTCGACTTGGCGTTTTTTAAAACACTGATACTGTCACATCATAATAGTACGTGGTAGGGGTAAAAACATCATTTACGAAAAAAATTGGGGATTTTGGTGTAGCTGAAATATATACAATTGCATGGGATATAATTGATAATTTCCTAAAACTCATTTGGAAATTTGTGTTTAAAAACATTTAACAAAAATTAAAGGGTGAGGTTTGTATATTAAAGGGTAAGGTTTGTATAAGGTGTCAACCTTAAACAACCATGCAAGGTGCACCTCAAAATCCGTTAAAAGGTGTATTTTCGGTGCTTAAACTCTTATTATTGCTCTAAAGATCTATTTTTCACCTCTATTATGAAATTAACTAAAAAAATGGTGTAGATTTAGCATACCGATGAATACTCTAAAATCGTAATAAGAGACGGCCTAGATAATGTGTTACACGATGTACTATTTTTAATAATTGAAAATTCAATGTTTATTTTATATCCATACATATCGAGATTGAGATGATCAATTGGAAGATTTTCTAATGCGGAAATTTCCCAAGTTTTTGAGGTGGACCTTACTTGTAGGGTATAAGGTTGACGTTTCCCAAAATTAAATACTTCTCCACATTGAAAGAAGAATTTTCGAACACTTGTTGTTCCCTGCAAAAAAAAAGAAAAGGAAAAAAAAAATCTAATAACTCCCTCTTTCCCTATTTCCTTATTTTCTCTCTTTTTTAAAAGCTTACTAATTGTTTTTTAGGTTTCTTGGCTCTCCTCATGATAAACTCCTAATTTAATTAATTTATTTATATTTCTTCGGGATGATCCTGATTGATCAAGATTGATGATTTGGCACTCCGACTCGGATCTAGAGGCCAATACAAGTGCACAAATACTACGAGATCAACGGAGGATTGTGTAAATTATCTCGCCAATACTAATAATCCATCCAAGGAGAGGATCGTGTAAAGCAGGAAACTATCTTGCCAATACAAATTGCACAAATACCACGAGATCTAAAGCACTCTTTTGCACACACCCCTGCATGCGTTATCTCCCTTTAGGTCTTAAATACAAGTGAAGAAAATGATATCCTCATATTCAAACATGATTTCCTTCACTTCATTTTTTGATATTGGATAAATAACCCACTACTTCTCTCTAAATATATGACAAAAATCACTTTCTAAAACTCTATAGTTCAAAAGAGATATTATTTTTAAATAATATC